GATACTGCCAACGGCGGCACAGTCTACCAGACTTGGAACATAAGGTATATACACCCATACAAGGCCTGATCCCCTTGTAGGATTGCCATCGTGCGACGCACATGTCTACATCCAATCTCATGAGAGTGCCCCGCACTTTAAATCAGCCATATGTTCTCCTTGTCCGACTGATGTCGTGCCTTCTGTGACCCTTGTCAGGGGGCGAATGCAATACACGGCTCTTAGCCTTATTCGCGACTCGATCCTAGATAGGGTTTGAGTTCGACTCATGACTGAGTCTCTCGTGAATAGTCATTGAGACAGGGTTCTCAATGACCGCTCTAGTCATACTAGGTTGATGATGAAACATCGCTCTAGATATTTAGCCAGCGTGGAGTACTTCCACGCTACTAGATCCATGCTAGACGAATCTTCCACGCGTTCCGTTCTAGGATCGTGGAGATACGTAGGATTACTACCGCAACCTACTCTATCACACTTTATAGTCTCCCGCGGGAAGCCAGATCTACGATCCCTTGATGATGATCTCTCTCGTTGATTAGTTTTCATAGCTTTCTAATCTCTCTCATAACTTTCATTCTCTCAAACTCAAAACACTCGAAAGATCTTTACACTAGCTTTTAGCGTAGTGCAAAGGGATACGCAACAGTGACAAACGAACATGCACTAACAAACTACTAGCTAGCTAGCAAACTAATAATGACACAATACTGACTACTGATACTGACTGATACTGACTACTGATACTACCGTTGATGTTGTCTCTCCTGTTGCCGTTGCTGTCTCTCCTGTTGCTGTTGCTGTCGTCGCAATTTCTGCTGTAGCTGCTGTTGCTTTTCTTTCTTCTTTTGGTATTTCTGATAGCGCATTCCGAGTGCCACCACCGTACCCTTTTGCCTTGATGAAATTGTGCTACCTAATGGTTTCAAGCCAACTTCTATTTCTAAATTCAGTAGCGTTTCCATGCAAGCATGTGCTATCCCGCTTGCCGCTTCTTTTCTCTTGCTCGTGCAACCAGTTCCAGTCGTACTCAAAGCAAGCTTATGTTCTTCTGATCCGGCAATCTTAGCCAACCGTAAAGCATGAATACACTTTGCCTCATTTTCTCCTTTCATTGTTGCGGGTATTGGAATTTGGCTGATTGCATGCCACTTAATCGGAGTTATATCTAAGAGAAGTCGTTCAAGCAAAATTCCTTTGCATGATGAGGAATTATTCTGGGCTTGGCGATTGCGCATCAGAAGTGCATTTGCATCTTTCGGTTGATCTTGCTGTTGACGCTGTACTGGCATTGACACTTGTAGCCGCTGTTGTTGTATTGGTTGTTGCTGTCGTTGTATTGGTTGTTGTATTGGTTGTTGTACTGGTTGTTGCTGTTATTGCATTGATTGTTGTTGTATTGGTTGTTGCTGCTGCTGTATTGATTGTGAAAGCTGGTTGAACCGAGATCGTGCAATTTGGGGATTGGCAGGTAGCAGTGATGATTGTGATATGGGTATTAGTTGTTGTTGCTGCTGTGTTGATTCTGAAAGCTGGCTGAATTGTGATCGTGCAACTTCGGGATTGGTAGCTAGCATTGCTAGCATTGATGGTGATTGCGATATAGATAGTGGTGTAGATAGTGGTGGTGGCGGTGGTGCTGCTGGCTGTGGCTATGGTGCTGGTGCTGCTGGTGCTGCTGGCTGTGGCAGTGGTGCTGCAGCGGGTGCTGGCAATGGCTGTGGCAGTGGTGCTGGCGGCAATGGCTGTGGCAGTGGTGCTGCAGCAGCGGGTAGCAATGACACGCGAGAAATGCTAGCTGTCTGAGCAAATTGTCTTCTTTGTCGTGGTGGGGTTTTGATAAATGACAACTTCTCCTTGTTCTGACTAGCCATTGCTTTCACTGCTTGTTGTTCCTTTTGAATCGATAGAAGGATTCCTTCAAGTTGTTGTTTTTGCATGCTAGTTTGCCTTTGCAATGCTAGTGCTTGATTCAGCTCCTTGGTTTGCTTTTCAATTTGAGCTAACTGAGAACCAACTCGATCTAGCATGGTAGCTGTTGCTACTTCTTGAGGCATAGCATCAAAATCATTCTCCAAATTAAAGTTGTCTTGGATATGCGTCCTCCAGCCTTCTAGAACAGCCCCAGGATGAACCCATTTGTCCGGATTGTTTGCATCGAAAAGCTTAGCTCTTTGGGCTGCTTGAAAAAGCTTTCTATATACTTTGTTCATAACACCAAAGTCATCTACCAGAGCAGGAATTGGCATAATGAGCACTGCTGTCACTGTGCGAAGAAAAGGTCGTAGATGTCCTCCAGATTGAAATTGTGGCAGCTGATCAGAGATTTTGTACAACTCATCAAAGAATTTGTCAATCATTCCACTCTCTTCAATTTCAGATCCCAAACACTCAAAGTTCGGAGGGGTGTAGGGGCAAGGGTATACAGATTCTTGGTAGCCATTTAGAGCTTCTGCCGCTGAAATTGACAGAACCAATGCATTCCGATCAATGTAGCTCTCCTGAGAAGTTCTAAATGAGTGACCTGATCGCACATGTGATGCATAATAGTCAATTGCTGAATGAGCAGCTAGGAAGTTGATTGCTCCCTTTCGCATTGATTTAGCAGAGAAGCTGTTGCGAACTTCAGTTGATACCTTGGCTGGAATGAACTTCCGAATGGTGCCAGTAAGCTTCTTTGTGACAGAAGAATCACTGATTTTGTGGAGCTTGGGAAACACCCTTTGTGCACATTCGAGCTCATCAGGACGTCTAAACAGGCCGTCTTCCAAGAGATAGTAACAACCCATGGCATGGTACCAGCATACTCTGTAGTTATATCTGTGTGGCATCATTGGCATGGAGTATGTGTTGATGGTTTTGATATCAATCCATTGGGTATCCACTACTTTAAAGTATAGATCCCAAAGCCAGTCACTATAGGAATTGAATTTGGCTTCACCACCACGAGCAACAGCATGCCATGTCATTAGTAATTGAGCCCGCTGCTCATAGATACCAGTATATCCGGATCTCGTATCATCCTCTTTGATCATGCTTTTAATGATTGCATTTAGATCCACTTTTGATATATCACCATTGATAGCTCTGGAGTTTGGGTTGTTGTGTGGCACTTCAACTGGTTGATAGCCAGGTAAGTTTTCAAGGTACAGTGGTCTCAGTGTTGTCGTTTCATCTTCATTATTATTTTGAGTTCTTGTAGCTTCTTTTTCTAGCCCTTTTCTTAGGACGGACCACCAAGAGCTGCCATCTCCGATGTGACCATTCCAATGAGGATGATTGGGAAACTTTTCCCTCAAAACTTCCTTAACCTTCCCAGCATATTCAACTTTGGTTGACGCTTTCAGATATTTACTACGCTCTTGAGATGACCATGAATGAAACTCAATTTTATCAAAGCCACGGGGAATGCTAATATTGGCAAGCCAAGAACAGAATTTGGTAAGATGTGCCTGTAAATTATCCTCTGCAATGTAAGTAGCAGTCGTCTGATCCATTATAGGCTCTTTTCGAATAGTTTGATATTTGTTATACAGCTTGATAGCAGCATTCTTTGTGGCATTTGATGTTGGTGCTTCTCCCAATTTCTTCTCCTGAAGAGGTTGACTACTACATGCATTACTTGTTTGACTCATCTTCGTTGCTGTACAGGTAGAATAGTACTAAAATGCTAGTATTAACCAAGTTTGTTGTTGGTGTTGGTTTGAACAGTTCTCTTCTCTGTTTGAAAAGCACCCACGTTTGTTGTTGGTGTTGGTTATCGGTTCTCTTCTCTGTACCAGTAATAGAGGTCTCGAGCACTTTGAAATAGCTCCAGTAGCTTCATGTAGCTCTAGTACCTTCACTGGGAGACCTCGTTGCCTGTTCAAATAGCTCGCAAACACCCAAAAATAGGGCTCTTTTCCCAAAACCAACTGCTTGCTTCAGCCAACTTGCCATAAAAGTTAGCTGGAGAACTGGGAAAGCTAACCATCACGGTGTTGGGTCAAAGCTGAAAGCTAGTGGAAAACTCCTGGAAAGCTAACCTGTAAACAGAGCACTAACCTCCAACACGAACTATCCGAATTCTCCCAGCTCTCCTCCTTTTCTCCAGGCTCCCCGCCAACTTTCCGGGCTGCGCCCGGAAAGTTGGGATTTTTTGGCTGCAGTAGAATCAGTACTGAGTCCCGGTCCCTTTTCAATCCCAGCGATTTGCCACAGACTTTTTAATGATAGACCAAAATTAATGTACTGTAATGGTAGCTAACGGTGGTACACGCAAAGAAACTGGCATCTGCGCAGTATTGAAGTACATGTATGCATAGAGACCCTGTTTCAGCTGTACCGGTACCAACGCCCCAACGCAGCTGTACGCGCGGGCGCACGGGTATGCATAGAATCTGATGCAAGGGCATCGCAGTGGCGAGCGGCGAGTTCAAAGCGAAATAAGAACAGCGTTGTCCACGAATGACCAAGAAAGTGGGGCCCACCCTCGAATTGTCCATGGGAGAACATTGATGAACTCCAATGTTAGACAATGACATTGTGATGATCTCTGTGGAAGTGAGCCCTTAAGACACCCTTTTCTCACACAGACAACAGGTGTTCTGACGTTCTGACGTTAGCTTCCGAATTCAGGGAATTAAAATTAATGTTCATAATAATAATGTTCTTCGGGGAGACTTTTGTTCGGGACGCTTAAATTTAATTGAGCGAAATGCCCTTCTCGTTTTGAAGAATTTTCTGTTGCTGAGGGGCAATACATTCTGCATCATCAAATCACCCCTTATTCAAGTATTAGAGACATGCAGCTGTTGCTAAGAAAAACCTTCTCCCCCTTTACATGTACCGTTACTGTAGTTGATAAATATATGTAATTTATTTGTTTTAAAAGTGCAACGAAAATTTCAATGTTTTTCTTGTTCATTGCATCCTGCATCCCTCGCTCGGCGTTGGAACTTTTCTTGCCCCGGACAACAGTGGGGTTCAGGAATCGAATCAGCATACGACTGTACGCTGTACTTCCTATCTCCGATCGGAACATGGATTTAACACTTTACTCTTTACTTTACTTTGGTCGCCAGACCATTCAAATCCGAACATTGCCTTGATTTCTGGGCTCCATGCCTGCCCCCAGCTTCGAACCTGGCACAAGTAACAGTAGTTGATGTAAGTACCGGTAAGTCACCATGAAAAGCGATGTGCCCTTTTTCCCATTGGTGGTCCTCCAAGCTCCCTTTCTATCGCTGCTGCCGTGGTTCGTAACAAGTTTTTGAGGTTATTGGTACCTGGACTTAATGCATAGCCGGGAGAGGAGCGAGCCCGCCCTCGAATGGAGCCTTGGAAGCTGCCTCGGAGGAGATTCAAGGGTCGTGCAAAATCCCAGCTTAGTACTGGCGCTACAGGGACCCCCGTAGGCTGCTCTGCGTTCTGACACTCCACTCCTTTCCAGTGCCATCGACGAGGGGGCGTCCGATCCTGACATCCTCTGCCTGCCCTTGCAGCTTCAGCAACCAGGCAACAAATCAGCTACGGTAAGCCTTAAAAAATCTCACAATCTCCCCACCTCTTCATCACACCTCCGCTTACGAGCATTAGTATCCCGCCACCACGACGTTCCATCTCATCAGTAACTAACTGTTAGTTAGTTCACCATGACTTCTCGAGTATCAACAACCAACATTGACAGTCTGAATTCCTTCAACCCCAGTGGTCATTCCAAGCCTAAGGAGACTCTCCGAAGAGGCACCTGGACCGTGGAGGAGGAACAGTATGTTGCCTGCCTCATTGAAGAGTTCAAGCAAGGTCACATTCCTCTGAAGGAAGGAATGAGCCTCCGCTGTTTCTTGGCCAAGATGGTCCACTGTAACCCCAAGCGCATCAGTAAGAAGTTTGAAGGCAGCAACTACAACGGCAAGCAGCTGTACGAGCAAAGTGACAAAGACTTGGACCCCACTGAAGCACTCGAACGCCGCACCAAGCTTCAGGCGCTGGAAGACAAATTCGAAGACAGTGTCACGGCCCTCAGGGCAGCTGAAGACTCACGCGGCACAGGAATTGATTCCTCTCTGCGCGTGGACAGCATCAATCTCTTTCCTTCGTCGGCTCACCATCGTTCTCTTCTCTCGGGGGCTGCTGCGGGTCTCTCTGGTTCCAATCTTCTCGGTAGTGACACCAGCTGGTTGCGAGCAGCTTTGGCCAACCCAGGCGGAATGAGTCTGGGAGCAACTGCTGCTGGCCTTGGACTTGGTGGCGGCGGTGGTGGTCTGAACTCCCTTGGAAGAGGCCTGGACCATTCCACGCTTCTCGCCGCTGGCTTGGGATCGTTGGAACCCAATCCGCTACCAATGGGTGCTGACAGCCTTGGCAACATGGCTCGGTTCTCAAACAGCCGTTCTTCTCAAGTCGGAGTAGATGTCTCTGGCGAATCAAGTCGCTTCAAGAACAGTCTCTCGGATCCATCCTTGGCCGTCAACATCCCTCCAGGTATCTCCATGGCATCCCTTCAGGGTGGTCCATCAGCTATGACTGGAGGATTGGGCGGCGGCAGTCTGCAGGCATCGATAGGATTCCCGTCTTTACCTGGGTTTTCAGCTGGCATGGGCTTTAGTGGTGGCACCGCCGATGGAGGTCTTGCGCAAGATATTTTGCACCAGCAATTGATGACAGCCAATGCCCCCGCTGGCTCTGCGAATCACGAAGACAACACCCGCCGCCGACTCATGAATCTATTGTCTCAGCCATCGTCTTCAGAAGCGCAGATCAAACGCAACAGTTTGGCGATGATGGGTGCTCAAGATGTGCTTTCCGGCAATGCCAAGAAACGCCGATTCTACTAGGTCGTAACAGGCGCCTGAACAAGTTGTCCGGGGTAGCGGCAGCTTCTTGCATGGATCGATATCGGTGAATGGAATATATGTTATTTTTCTTGTCTATACGTATCCAGTCCGTTCTAAAGAGAAACACATGTACATACCGGTAGTCCTTTACAATCAATCATGCATGGATAATACAATTTATAGTCCTTTTGTTAAGGTTTAGTTTCCATTGAATTCAACAGAACATTGCATTCTCCAACGCTAACGGCCAAGCTCTCGTCCTTCACAGAATTCCACCTTGCTGTGAACAGACGTAGCATGACAAAGATTCAATCCGGGAAAGTACGGTTACCAACCCAACGCTGGTTACCAATCGCCAACCACTGCCAGACCTACCTATACCGGTAGCTACCAGCACCACTCAAGTCACCATGGGGCAGGCCCTGGACCCACTCTGGCACAGCCAGCTCCTGCAGCAGGACAAACTCCGGGCCCTACTCAAGGTACAGTACAGCATGTGGGGTATGGAAAAAGTCAGGTTACTGGTAAAGTAGTGTACAAATTTTCCCCACAAGACTTCGCTAACTGTACAGTGAGGTCCACAGTGCCGAATTCAAAAAATGTCACTTAAGCAGGGGGAGTCTTGTGGAACAGGCAAAGATTTATTCCATGAGGTGCACCAGTACGTTGAAGTCCTCATTATTTCGTGCTCACAATTTGGTCTCCGTGTCAAGTCGAGTCATTGGATTCCACCACACCAGAGCTACTACATCACCATGTTGTTTACTGCTAGTCATGTATTCAAAGAGTGGCTAGATATTAATGATCGCTACCCTTACAATGAGATGAGGAAAACCAGGCAGACTTATGTTTGCAAGCATGTTTTGCTAGAGGATCAAACAGACAGGGAAGATCCCAAAACCCAGTACTATCTTGTGAAAACCAGATACCTGTCCAGTGGAATCCTTGAGCAACTCATCATGGAAGGGAATGCGCTGCCAATGACCCCTGACCAGACTTGGTTGCTGGATGAGATGTTTGTGTGGGGTGTCAGGCACAGCAATGAATGGTACAGTGAAGTTCTTGCTGAGCTGGCATGGGAAGTGTATGAGCATGAACCTGTCACAAGGAAAGAGATGTGCAGAGAGGCAATCAAACCACTTATGAGAGGTGCACTTCACCAGCAAGGTATTGGTGGAGACCATATTGAAGTCAAGTCTTTGTTACTTACAGAGTGGGAAGAGTGGTTTGACACCGAGTGCTGGAGCCAGCACAAGAACAATCTGAGTGGCATGACAATCAGTAGTGAGCAGTACATTATCAACAGAGCCGCATTCACTCTTCATCATGGTGGCTACTCTTACCCAATGCACCTTGACTGATTCATGTCTGTTCAGAGAGAGTTGAAAAGAGAGAAGCAACATCTGTAAGACTGTTGTTGTTTGTTATCCAAGAAGTGTCACCAATAAGCAACAAGTAACAACAAACCTTTGTGTCAAACCAGTCTTTCCTGTTGCTGTTTTTGTGTGTTGGTTTAGTGCAAGTAGGACCATACCCATCCTCCTCATCATGATAGTCCTTCAGCTGCCAGCAGTTGCCACAATAGTTCCTCTTGCATGTTTTGGCTACTCCTTCCCATTCGGCATGATCCTTTCGCTTGTGCCCACAGGAGACACAGAAACGCCGACTCCTGAACACTCGCCTGGTTGGTCTCCTGGCTTCTTTGTTTGCTCTTGGTGTAGGGGTATCGGAAAAGGCAAATGAGGCAATGTTCCTTTGATTTACAATGACCTCCTGGCTTGTACCAGTAACTCGACCAAGGGCAATTCGTGGATTCAGCGCTGTCGGCACCCCGAAAGGTGTTCTGCTGTTGGAATGCTGGGCATAAGTGGTGGTGTTGACTCGAACTGCAGCTGCTGTGCCTGGAAGACCCTCTCGCGACTGTCGAAGCTGCCGGTTCAGCTGTTGCCGGTGTTGGTCATTCGCTGTGGGCGCAGTTGCTTGTAGGGATGCATGTTCTCTCCTCTTTTTCAAGAAATCCTCCAGCTGTTGTCGACTCTTTCTGTTGATCTGGATAACACTGTCATCGCCATCAGCCCAAGCTTTGTACCGGCGGGCAACTTCATTGTTCCATTGCCTTTCGAATGCTTTATAGTTTGGTTTGCCACGACCTTGGATGTTGTAGTTAGAGTGTTCAACAGTAAACAAACGTTCCTCTTCTCGATCAAGTCCTGTTGCCGGAGATGATGCGTCTGGAAATCGAAAAGGAATCCATGGCTGTTTGTGAGATAAGCGAGTAAATGCCTGCAATGTTGACTCAGGACCGGTGTTCTCAGGTAGCAACTTGGCGAGTTCCCGATAGATCTCAACTCTATTTAGAGCATCGCTGTCTCTAATGGCTTCTTCTTCTTCCAAATCGGCGAGTTGTCGCTCCAAGTCTGCTTCAGTTGCCGGATTTTGCTGCAAGGCGGTATCAACTTCAACCTCGATGTCATCTTCTTCTGTACCGGTACGTAGGGGATCTGCGACGTTCCTGACTGGTTCATCATCGCCGGAATCACCATCTTCATCTTCGCTACCATACCCACTGTTATGCAGTGTAGGATTGGACACATCCGGCAATTCTTTGACTTTGTAAGAAAAGCCCATGAACTCCTCTTCGCCATCTGGATCAACAGTTGGGGCACATATACCTTTAAATGGGAGTGCACTACGCTAAAAGCTAGTGTAAAGATCTTTCGAGTGTTTTGAGTTTGAGAGAATGAAGAGATTAGAAAGCTATGAAAACTAATCAACGAGAGAGATCATCATCAAGGGATCGTAGATCTGGTTTCCCGCGGGAGACTGTAAAGTGTGATAGAGTAGGTTGGTAGTAATCCTACGTCTTTCCACGATCCTAAAACGGAACGCGTGAAGGTTTGTCTAGCCTGGATCTAGTAGCGTGGAAGTACTCCACGCTAGCTAAATATCTAGAGCGATGTTTCATCATCAACCTAGTATGACTAGCGCGGATTGAGAACCCTGTCTCAATGATATTCACGAGAGACTCAGTCATGAGTCGAACTCAAACCCTATCTAGGATCGAGTCGCGAATAAGGCTAAGAGCCGTGTATTGCATTCGCCCCCTGACAAGGGTCACAAGAGGCCGACACAGTCGGACAAGGAGAACATATGATTTAAAGTGCGGGCACTCTCATGGAGATTGGATGTAGACATGTGCGTCGCACGATGGCAATCCTACAAGGGGATCAGGCCTTGTATGGGTGTATATACCTTATGTTCCAAGTCTGGTAGACTGTGCCGCCGTTGGCGGTAGCATGTTGGAGCCGTACAGTGCCATTGTCATTGACTCGGTCTATAGTGTAAGGACCTTTGTACTTTGGCTGACCGTACTTGCGGTGCTGATACTGTTGAATCATCACAGTATCGTTGACATTGTATTGATGAGGGACACGCGTTGCGTTTTCCCTATCGTTGTTTTGTTGGATTAGTCGTGGCGACGTTCCTTAATGTACTTCCAGTTGGCTTTGAAACGGACGTTGTTATGCGTCACGATTGAACACGAGCTGTGCGGGGTTGCACGCAAGGTGGTATGAATCGTGGCATTCATTGCAAAGCGAACCGCCGTGAGGACTCTCATCCCAGGATCCATTCACGAGGTCGTCTTGGCACTTGATGTTTTGAACAGCGATCAATTACGTATGGTTTGATGAGCACGCTCGACCATAGAGTTGGTTGAGGGTTACGCGTGTAATGAACTTGCGAGAAGTCCATATTCATCCCGGAGTGCTTTTCGACCTCTGCGCGGAACTCGAGTCCTCTATCCATGATAACCCCAGCAGGCACGGATACCGGGTAAGCCACGTTTGTTCTAGACGATGGCTACTTCGTCTGCTGCCTTGGAGCAGATCTCTGCAATCTCGAACCATCCGGTTACGGGATCAATCATTGTCAGGCAATGAAGTGTGCAGGAATTCTTTTTCTTGGATCCCCGACGTTGTAAGGGCTATCAGGTCAATACATAGTCTTTCCCAAGGGATCTCCTCGCAAGTCTTTGAGGGCATCAATCCCAGCTTACGCGTCTTGGGTTTGTTCTGGCAGCTTTGGCAACGCTCATACGGCCTGCACAGTCCTGCGCAGACCCTTCCAGGTGTTAGTGTTGGCTGATGGTTAGCTCCGTGCGAGTCTCGCCAGGATGCTCAGCACACCATGGTACCATTCAACTAGCTTTTTCTGCATAGTTTTTAGGTACGACGATTTTCTCGTCCTTAACTACTAAGTCGTAGGGACTTATCCCCTCTGGGGAAAGATTGCTTCTTTGAGTCGTTTGGCTTGTCCCTGAGGAGCTTCTTGATATCGTTGTCGTCTTTCTGACGATGTTCGATCTCAAGGAACGAGAGAGGGAACTCGCTAGGGAAGTCCTCTTCGTCTGCAGCCATAGCTCACGATCTCGCTGGCGTCCATTGTTCTGAAGAAACTGTCGTTGTTGGAGATGTTAAGTCTCGCAACGCATCACGACGATGTTCTGTTCGCCCTTGATGTTCCGTAGTTCAGGGCCGTATTCTTCCAGAATAAGGCGCCATCGCATTCGCGATCGGTATTGAAGTTCTTACACGTAAGATTCTTGTGGTCCGTATGTACAACGATCTTCTGTCCTAGAAGAATGTTACGGAATCTTTTAGAGTTTCTACGATACTGAAGAAGTTCCTTCTCGGTAACTGTGTAACGTGTCTGAGCAGGGTTGAGCTTCCTCTGTAGGACGCGATAGGTTTTCCCTTCTGGGAAAATACTGCACCTAGTTGAGTATCAACTCGCATCCGTGTGATAACGAATGTGTCATTGAAGTCAGGGTAGCGAGAAGGTTTCTTTGCTGATGATCTTCTTCATCTGGCTAAAGGCCTTGTCGTGTCGCCTTCCCATTTCCACTTCGTTGTTTTGGAAGTCAACGAAGCGAGTGGTGGCCAGTACATTGTGATCGTCTAATCCACATGTCTCATATAGTTCACTAGTCCAATTATTCTACGGAGTTCCTTCCTGTTGGTAGGAGGAGCGATATTCTTGATCGCGTCTATTTTCTTGGTTATAGGTTGGTCCCTTCTCGAGTAATTCCAGTAACCTAGGTACTCAAGTTCTCCTCTTGCGAAGAAGACTTGGTAGCATTGATCTTAAGTCCGGCTTCTCGAAGCCTTCGAGAACTTCATCCAACTTTTCAACGTGATCT